CATGGGGCAGAATATCATCGACCGCAGGGGCGACAAGGCGAAACAATGTACGCCGAGTGGGCGACTGCAGCGAGACCCTCGCGGATTACGTCGACCGCCTCGAGCTATCTGAGGAGGTCCCGAGGCAGTGGATGCAATCCTACTCGGTATCAAACATCTATTTCACCACGGCGAACATTGCACTCTTCATGGCGACGACTCAGAGAACCTCGAGCTGGAAGTTCGCCGTTTGGATTAGGTTCTCAGCGGGGTGAAGGATGCTGAAGGTGGTTCGCTGTTCCGCCAGCAGAGGATCGGTCAGCTCCAGGAGGCGGGAATGGAGTCTCGTGCTGAAATTCAGCGGGTCAAGCTGCAGCGGCGCCTCGATCTGCGCGCGACCGAGGCGGTGTTGACCAAGCAGCGCGTCGAGGCAGAGAACGGACTCATATGCGCTCGGCGTCAGTTCGAGGGGCTGGGGCACGAGTTGTTCGACCGAGAGACTGCGAATCCCGCGGGCTATGCTGAGGGGCCGCCGACCTTCCTCTGCAAGTTCGCGGCGCGATCGTGGATGCAGCGCGCCCAGCGTTCCAGCATTTGCCAGCTCGCGCAGTCCTCTTTTAATTTTCATGCCTGGGCTTCTTGGAGCCGCTGCGTCAAGGGGCGGCTTCGGAATCGACCCCACAGGTTCAAGCGCGCCGTGAACGACGCGAGAGGCCATGTCATCGCGATGGCAGACCTGGAAGAAGCAGTGGACACGCCGAAGGGGGTCCGTCAACCTATCGAAAAGAACTTAGGCTGCGCGCGGACTCTACCGATGACCGAGGAGGACATCCAAAGCAAAACGGGATAAGCACTGGAGGTGCCTGCAGAACAGGAAGGCCCAGCGCCGGGCCGGCCAGTTCGAGGAGATCGAGGGCGCGGACTCGGACGAGGGCGACGACGACGAGCAGGAAGTACATGCCACGCAGGACGAAGAGTCCCGCGGTGGACAACCAGGCGCAGCATCGGGTGACCGCATCTACGGCGACGTCGTTCTACGGCAGTACGGACGCCCTGCGACGCCTTCGTGGAGGGGGGGCGCATCGCTAGTGCTCTGGCCAAAGCAGAAGAGGAAGAACAAGAAGAGCCCGAGCCGCCTCCGGAGATTCAGGAGGGCGAAGCTCCAACAGCGAGAGGAACCAAGAAACCTGCGATAGGAATGCAGCGTCCTCGCGTCAACCGAGCCGAGAAGACAGCGGAGGGGGCCACCGTTGAGAACGTGCCACTCCTCTCGAGGCCGAAGTACGTCGGGCTTGTCGGCGTCAACGTCTTGCTCCCCGACGATAGCAACAACGTCGACGACCTAGTCCATCGGCGAAGCTCCACGGTGAGGCACTCGAATGCGGTCGCCACTCCGGGGGGACAAGTCGATCGGACCGATCTGAATGTCTCTCGCAGGCGGGGCCTGGACATCGATTGCGCTGCCAGGCAGGCGCGCGGCAAGTCGCGAGCTTGGCGGAGCAGCCAGACTGCGCATCTCTCTGAGCGACTTGGCGGGGATTCTTTGCGACGCGACAACGGTCCCAACTCGCCAGAACGACGGGTTCGTCTACTTGGCGCCACCCGAGGTGAAGGGGCCGCAGTATCGCTCTCGTAGTGAGGTGGTATATCAGGGTGCTCAGGACTTGGAATTCCCTGCTGGAGATCACTGCCTGGGTCAGCGTGGGCGACCTCGTCGCGCTGCCAGACCTTCTACCAGCATGCAAGCAGCCACTGGACTACATCGCAAAGGTGGAGTAGGAGAGGGCCCCGCAGATGTATCCAGGCATGGCGAGGCAAGCGGAGGCGACGAAGGGCGAGCCACCCGAACTCGAGAGGAACGAACGCTGGCCCACCGATGATGTGGTCTACTCCCTTGCATTTAAGGGCCGTGCTTAGCCGATCGCCCAGGGCCCGGGCTGCAACGCGACCTTCAGCGAGCCCGCGTCGGAGATGATGGCCGTGCGCCATCAGTGCCCGAGACTGCCTACTTTCCGTGTCTGGCTGAAGCTGTTGACGCAAGTGCCGCTCGACACCGCCCTGAGTCCGATTGAGTCGCGCAACGCGTTTGAATGCGAAATCGCGCAGGACTGCCTGCGGGCAGGAGACGGGGGCGTGACTGCGAGGCCCTCTGCGCGCACTCCCAGGTGTGTGCGGGCACCGAGCTCCGCGATCCCTCTGATCTTCGCCCGGTCTCAGATCTCGTCGCTGCGCCATAAAAGGGGTCTGTCTCGCTGGGTACCTGCAGCGCAAGCCATCGTTGAGGGCGTGCGCTGCGACGAACTTCCGAAGATGGGTGGGGACCTATGGCATCTTCCCCATGATGAGAAGCAGGTTTTGGGCGACAGCTGGGGGGAGCTGGTAAGATCAGGTGAGAAGGTCATCGAGGACATCTTGGACCATGTCAAGATCCTCGGAGAGGCAGGCTGAGGAGGAGACGCGACGCGCAAGCTGGGGGGCCTCGGCGAGTTGAACGGCGCGGTGGGGTTTCTCGAAGGTTGTGTCGAGAATCCACGCCAATGGGCGGATCTGTCTCCGAAGCCATGAAGGCCGGTGACTATTGATCACTGCTCCGCTGCTGCAGGACTTGACGGACCTCCAGCAGAGAAGGGTGAGGTACTTCTCGGGCCCGTAGAACAGTGCATCCGCCCCCGCTGGGGGAGGCCCTGCACGCTGTCCAGGAGGAACAGGAGGGTCTTCAACCAGATGATGACTGGCGAGGGCCCCCAGGTCCGCTGGGGGGCGGGCCACCAGGTCGACGTGGCGAGGGCCCCCCCTGACTCGACGCTCTCTTTCATTATGGCTGCGTTGGCCGCGCTGGTTCTGGAAGCTCAATTTTGGGGGCCCTAGTTCCCGGGAGATCCCGCTTTGCTCGTGGGCATCTCTCAGGACCCATCGATGGTCCTCATGTCAAGGGGCCAACTGCGCACCCAGCCGGACAGCAGTGAGTGATGGGCATGGCGCCGGCGCGCGCAAGGGCGATGCAGCGCGACGAGGAGCTCGGCGAGAAGGAGGCCTAGATCGAGACTGCCTTCCACGGTGGCAACTTGGCAGCGCTGGCATCTGTCTGGAGCAAGAGGGGCCTGTTCGAGTTGAAGCCAGGACCTTCGAGTTGTGGCAAGCTTTGCGGCATTTTCTGCGAAGCGGCAACTCGCCGTGCCTCCTGCGCCCACTACGTAGTGCATGTTGCGACTGATGTCTGCCCTGCGAGGAACCTGTGCTCGCTTGCATGCTCGAACCGGTTTCATTGCTGCCGTCGCGCAGGCTATCCCAAGATGCGTGTCCACAAGCAGTGTTTCCAGACCGATTGCAGCGCCTGAGTCAATGTGCCCTGGGTCCATGCTGCGACGATGAAAGCGCTCGCGGACAAGCTATAGGCGGAGGAGCAAGTCTTTGGATGACACAGGGTCTTGAATCGTACTGTCAGGATGTACCTCGCGGCAAAGGCTATCCCGACAGCGTTTCCGAGGGTACGCGCGTATTCAGACGAGCGATCGAGGACTCCGACTTCCTGGCTACCGAAGTCAAGCTGGTTCCCAAGGACGAGAGATGGGTTCCCCAGTGGACGAAGGAATTCAGTGCGGCAGATCGTTTCTTGGAACGCACTGGCAAACCGTACGACCCACGCGGGATCGAACCACAAAGTTCCATGGATCAGATGGGGCAGTCTGCGGACGCAGCGAAGTCGGAAGGCCTCATCATGGGCCCTGCGTCGGACAATCCTTTCAAGGAGCTCTCCTAGAGATACTCTCACGTCCTACGTGTTCGTGGAGCTGCACCAACTGCATGTCCCTGGGGCCTTGGTAGTACGTGGAATGGCTACGGAATCTGTTGAGAGAGGCATTCCATCCTCTGCGGCGAGGCGGCGTTTCGGCTGCGAGAAATGTGGGAACTGTGGTTGCTGCGCCCCTCCTGCGCCTCTGTCCGTACTCCCTTGTGCGCCGCCATACCGGCTCACAAGGGCCCTTGAGCTATCATGGTGCGCTGGTGGCGGACGCGCCCACAGCTCCGCAAACAGGAAAGAGGACGTGCTCTCTTCTAGCACGGGTCCCCTATTTGTACCTCGTGTCTCTCTGTCTCCATACAGTCACCCCCGTACAAACCACAGAGGAGGGTGAGGAGGCACATGAGGAGGAGGAGGAGGAGGAGGAGGAGGAGGAGGAGGAGGAGGAGGAGGAGGAGGAGGAGGAGGAGGAGGAGGAGGAGGAGGAGGAGGAGGAGGAGGAGGAGGAGGAGGAGGAGGAGGAGGAGGAGGAGAGAGGAGGAGGAGGAGGAGGAGGAGGAGAAGGAGGAGCAGCAAAAGGAGGAGTAGGAGAGGAGGGAGGAGGAGGAGGAGGAGAGGAGGAGGAGGAGGGAGGAGGAGGAGGAGAGAGGAGGAGGAGGAGGAAGGAGGAGGAGGAGCAGGAGGAGGAGGAGGCCCCTCTGTCGATGGACAGAGCGCAAAGCACAACTCCGATGATTGCGAACGGCGGCGGCGGTGAAGCTGAGGATGATGGTGAGGTGGCCGAATGCGTGGAGGAGAAGCAGCAGGAGGACAAGCAGGAGCAGGAACAGGAGGAGGAGGAGGAGGAGAAAGAGAAGGAGGAGGAGAAGGAAGAGGAGGGAGGGGGGGGAGGGGGAGCAGGGAGGGCAGGAGGCGCGCACGAGGAGGCGGATGAGAGGCAGGCGCTGGGTGGGCGCCGAGGGGGACGTCGTGCGGGAGCGGCCGTGGCGCACGGGCAGCGAGGCGGAGGCGGGGAGGACCGCCGTGCTTTTTGGGTTCGGAGCCAGCCCGGGCCGCTCGGCGGCCGGCCGCCCCGCCGCGCCTTCGTCTCCGCGCCGTGCTCGCCGGCGTCGTCGTCGCCATCCACTGCTGCGTCGGACGTCGTCGTCGGGCGTCCTCGTCGTCGGACGCCTTCGGCGCCGTCAGACATCGTCGGACGTCGTCGGAAGCCGTCGCAATCGTCGTCGTCGCCGACGCCGTCGCCGTGGCCGTCGCCGTCGTCGTGGTGGTGGTCGTTGTCGTCGTCGTTGTCGTCGTCGCCGTCGCCGTCGCCGTCGCCGTCGTTGTCGCCGTCGTCGTCGTCGTCGTCGTCGTCGTCGTCGTCGTCGTCGTCGTCGTCGTCGTCGTCGACGTCATCGTCGTCCTCCTCGCTGTGCGGCGCGCCGAATGGGCAACCTCGTCAGCCTCGGCGAGGAAGAGGAACATCAAGGGCAACCATAGGGATGGATACGCTCAGGGAGGAATGCGTCGACCCCGGATCGCCCAATCGCCGCCGACATCGGGCCCGATAGCCCAAACCGCCTAGGAACGTGGTTTTAATTATCGGGGGCCTAACGCCAATTTATCGGTGATGTACGGCGGGCTCAGCTCGATGTTTCCCCCCTGAGTTGGTGCCCCTCAGACGGGGCTAGGAAGAGGATAGATCCGTTCCAGAGGTTTCGGGAACGCTGTCAGACGGTTCCAGAACGCTCTGGGAAGGCAGCGGCGCCCGAGGCATCCTCCAGAGCCGCCGGATCTCAGAGATTCTCGATGTACGTATCCTCACCTGATTTTATCTTCGTGCTGGCTTCGTCTTATTCAGACCCTCCACGCGCCTGCAAGATACATCGGACCCTCCTGACGGTTCCCCTCGTGTTTGTGGGCGAGGTCCCCTGGCCTCTTTCGGCGCTCCTCCTAAGTTTTGACGCTTCGTGTGCCCCCGATTCTATCCTCGTCCTGGCTTTGTCTTCGGTGCCCCCTTACCGTTGCCCCGCAGAGGAGGAGGTGGCCGGGGAGCCGCCAGCGGCGGGGCCGCCGCATTCCTGGGCGAGCGGGGGGCCTGGCTGGCGCTCTGGGCCGCGCCAGAAGCGGAGCCGGGCTGGGGCAGGTGATGAGATGCTCTCACGGCCGCTCCTCCCGTCATTCGAGCGGCTCGGTGCGCGGCGGGCGCGGCGTCGGAAGTGAATTTTCGAGACCGCTGCGTAGTGGACGTAGTAGCGGTCGAAATAGTATCTAGTAGTAGCAGTAGCAGTAGCAGTAGCAGTAGCAGTAGCAGTAGCAGTAGCAGTAGCAGTAGCAGTAGCAGTAGCAGTAGCAGTAGCAGTAGCAGTAGCAGTAGCAGTAGCAGTAGCAGTAGCAGTAGTAGCAGTAGCAGTAGCAGTAGCAGTAGCAGTAGCAGTAGCAGTAGCAGTAGCAGTAGCAGTAGCAGTAGCAGTAGCAGTAGCAGTAGCAGTAGCAGTAGTAGTAGTAGTAGTAGTAGTAGTAGTAGTAGTAGTAGTAGTAGTAGTAGTAGTAGTAGTAGTAGTAGTAGTAGTAGTAGTAGTAGTAGTAGTAGTAGTAGTAGTAGTAGTAGTAGTAGTAGTCGTAGTAGTAGTAGTAGTCGTAGTAGTAGTCGTAGTAGTAGTCGTAGTAGTAGTTGTCGTAGTAGTAGTAGTAGACGTAGCAGTAGAGCAGTAGTAGTAGTAGTAGTAGTAGTAGTAGTAGTAGTAGTAGTAGTAGTAGTAGTAGTAGTAGTAGTAGTAGTAGTAGTAGTCGTAGTCGTAGTCGTAGTCGTAGTCGTAGTCGTAGTAGTAGTAGTAGTAGTAGTAGTAGTAGTAGTAGTAGTAGTAGTAGTAGTAGTAGTAGTAGTAGTAGTAGTAGTAGTAGTAGTAGTAGTCGTCTCAAACGATGCACATGCGAATAATCTACGTCTTCCGAAGGGAATGGGACGAATTTTGCTTGTTGGGGCCCTCTTGGAGAGCCTCTTGAGGCTCTCTTGGATTTTTTTCGCCGCCTCTGGGGCCATCGGGAGACCAGAGCGTCGTGGAACGAGCTTTCGGCGACTCGGGGCCTCTTGGGTCGTGTAGGGGGCGCCCCAGCGCCCTCTCGGCGCGCTCCTGGAGTGCCCTGGGAGAGTCGGCCAGGCATCGGCCAGGGGTACTTTTCGCCCTGGGGTCCCCAGGGGCCGCCACGCGCGCGCGCGCGAACTAGACATACGGTTGACCTGTTACTGGAGATCTCGGAACGCCTCTGGCCCGTTGGGCCGGCGAGTCTCCTTCCCCTTCGGCCCATCCTTGGCCGCTCTCGCTGGCCGCGCCCCGCTCGCCGAGTATCGACAGGGCCTTCCAGGGCCCTTGCGTCCGTAGCGTGCGCCCCTGCTCGTGGACTGTAGTTCAGACCCCCCGGCTGCCTCCGAGATGCATCGACGCCTCCTGTCGTTTCCCCGCGCGTTCTTGGGCGAGGGCCCCAGTCCCCGGGCGGTCCATTTTTGGCAGGCCCAGGGCGTTCTTCTTCAAGTTGGCGGGGGCAGCTGTAAATTAGCAAGGACGGCGCCCCGGACTTACCGACCCGCCGCCTGCGCCTTCGCTTGCGGCCGCGACCAAAAAAAGCGCCCCCGCCAGCTCGTCCAGACACGATCGCCGGGCGATGCGCCCTGATCGGGGAGGTATGGAGGCAGCCGCCAATCCGAAGTTCGGAGTGAGCCGGACCACACTCATGAGTGGGATTGTTGAGCCTGCCGTCGAAGGAGGAGGAGGAGGAGGAGGAGGCGGCGCAGAACGTCTAGACGGGTGATGGGGAGGAGGGAGGTGGATGAAGTGGGAGGTGTGATTGGTAGTATGAGGGGGATGAGGAAGATAAGGAATAAAGACAGGAGGACGGAGGAGGAAGGGGGCAATGAAGACGACTGCATTGACGAGGACGCGAAGCAAGATGCAGAGGATGACAACGACGGTATGAGCCAATCCTGAAGATCTTCGCGGATCTTTCGCTTTTATAGCCTCTTGAAGTCATCTTGGGATCCTCCTTGGCCACTTTCGGACGCCTGTTGGGCTGTCTTGGCTTGGGGCCCTCTTCTGAGCCATGTAGGCCCTCTTGCGGCCATCTTGGAGGCCATCTTGCATCCTGATCGCGCGTCCTTCGCATCAACTCTGACAGTGACCCGCCTCACCGCGACCCCTTTTAAGACCGCGACCGCGCTGCGCGACCGAACACGCCGCGGAACGACAGTCTGGGACGATTAGGGGGCCGCACGCGAACCCTACCCCTACCACCCACGGTTTCTGAGGGGGAGGGTGGGGTTCACTTCGCTCGGGAGCTCCTGAGCGAAGTGAACCCCACCCTCCTCAGAAATCGTGGGGGGTAGGGGCACTCTGGATTCCATAATAAAGTCGGGGGGGGGTACATTTGGGGGGGGGGGGGTCTGATTTGAGCTGTCTTGGAGGGTTCGAGGGGGTCTGGGCAAAGGGCCGCCCTTTCATGGATGGTCTGGGAGGGTCTAAAACTTCTCGTCTGGGAGGGTCGAGACCCCCTCCCTTTTCTTGCGAGATCTGGAGTAGGGTTCGCATGCGGCCCCCTAACGATGGGCCTCCGGGCCTCCGACGCCTCCGACGCGGGTCGATATGCGGCGCTCTGCTCTCGGCCCCTCGGCGGCCTGCGGGGCCGCCGCCCTCCCGGCGCCTCTCCGGGGGCCAGGCAGCAGGAGCGGACCTTCTCCTCTATCCTTCGTCTCCTCGTCTCCTCGTCTCCTCGATCCTCTGCCTCGACGCCCTCGATCCTCGTCGCCCTGTTCCTCGACCCTCGACCCTCTTCTCCTCCCTCCTCGACCCTCGATCCGCTCCCTCGATCCCCTTCTCCTCCTTCCTCTTGGTGTCGCTCGGACGTGTGCACTTGTTCTCGGCGGGGAGTATTGAGGAGCCTCCTGGATCATCCGGCGAAAAAGCAACGCACGAAGCCAGACAAAAACACGGGGAATAGGCGTCCGAGCGACGGGGAGTGGGGCGGGGGGGCCTGCGAGACCTGCAGGCCGTGAGCCACCGCTTGGGATTACCTTGCCCAGGGTCTGGCAACGAGCCGAGCTGTCTGGGCCGCCCCCCTGCCCCCCTCCCCTCCCCTGGATAAAACCTGACCACGTGCAGGGCCGAAGGGCTTGGCATCGCTCGGGCGTGTGCCTTTTCTCTCGGCGAGAGTCATCGAGGACCATCCTGGACCATCGAGCAACAAAAAACAGGCACGAAACCGACAGATGCACGGGAGATGGACGTCCGAGCGAGGGCAAGAGGGGTGTGCGCAGAGCTGGTGCGCGCGGGCGTGGGGCCGCCCACAGCGAAGGGGCTGGGTCACTGGCCCGCACCTCCACCCCCCCCCCACCAGGCAACCCGGGCTCTCGTCGGGGCCAGAGATGTCTATGTCCACCTTTTCTTGGCGAAGGGCAGCCCAAGCACAGCGTACAGACTCTTTTCGACACCTGTCGTCCGGAGAACGGGCCAGACATTTACACACTATACGCTGTCCCGTGGCGCTTTTGCGAGGCCCCGTGGCACAGAGCACAGAGCCCGGATGGCTTTGTGTGAATATATGCGCGGTGCCCGTACCCCTGATATCTGATGCTGGCAAAAATCGCAAAAGCGCAAAAATCACGACCAGATCCCTGGACCCCATCTTCCTGCGCCATCTTTCGAGCTGGATCGATCTGTGTGGGCCCCAGGACCCGAAACAGGGCGAAAACGGCCTGTGTGAAAAAATCGCCACGTCAGGATCTCAGGTATATCCAGGAGCGAAAGAAGGACGTGCATGCACACAAGTTTGACAGTGCGCCTTGCGCGACCGCTCGTTTCACGAGGCCGGTCTCGGAGAGACCGGGGGACCAGATTCGCGCACGTGGTTGAGCGCGTGCGCCGTTCGTGGGCTCCCTGGGGATGGCCGACGCCGACGAATGCAAACGAGGCTCCCCTGCCGGCGCCTGGAGGTACGCGGGCCAGCCGGCCGCCCTGCGCCGCGGCTTCGAGCGCGAGTGGCGCGCGGCCCGCGCATGCGGCGGGGCGGAGGGCTGCCAGCACGGCCGCGGCGCGCCTGTGCACGGCGGCGCCCGGGAGCCGGAGGAGCCGCTGGCGCCCGCGTCGGCCGCGGAGTACCTTCGGGAGATACTCACGAGCGAGGACCGCGCCGCGTGCAGGTCGCGGCGGCGATGGCGGCGGTGGCAGCAGCAAGGGTCACAGCGGCAGCAGCGAGCACAAGAGTCGCTAGGGTCACAGCGGTAGCTAGGGTCAATCCTTTCCTCCTGCTGTACCTGGTGGAGAGAGAGAGAGAGAGAGAGAGAGAGGAGAAATAGAGAGAGAGAGAGAGAGAGAGTACGTGGGACGGAACAAGAAGGGTTCGCTGAGGTCCTTTCGTGCGGGGACCGCTTTGCGTGCAGATCCTGGGTATCGCCGATCCTGGGCGTCGCTCAGAGGAGGAAAAGGTACGGATACCGCTACCCTTGCCTCGTTTAGCCTTTTGGGCCTCCTGGGAGGACCTCGTCGCCACTGCTGGATTCGCCTCGAACGCACCCCAGGAGAGGTCCAGGGAGCAGCAGCGGTATCGGTACCTGGTGGTCTCCCTGGTCGCGAGCAAGAAACAGATAGCTGTAAGGCGTTCCAGAAAAGGGCCTCGCCTTCGAGGGTCGAATGAGGTGTCGTCTCTTCCTCGGCGGGAAGGCGGCGGGAGGCCAGCGGAACGCGGCGGAAGCACAGCGAGGGCGGCCCCCGCCGACGCAAGCCTGCGGACAGCCCGTGGAAGTTGGCGGAAGTCAAATCTGCGCCCTTCAAGCGATGGCAACGTTTTTCCCTACCTAGGCTCTGCCTAGAAGGGTTCTTACCCTGTTTGCTTGAAGGGCCGGGCAGTGCAACCCGCCCCGGGCGGTTCCCCCGGCATCCGCCCCGCGGTTCCCCCAGTTACATCCCCTTAGCTTGGCGTTGCTTATCTCATCTTAGCTTAGCTTAGCTCAGCTTAGTTTCATCTTAGCTTCGTTTAGCTGTAGCTTAGCTTAACTTAGCTTAGCTTAGCTTAGCTTAGCTTTAGCTTAGCTTTAGCGTAGCTTTAGCTTAGCTTTAGCTTAGCTTTAGCTTAGCTTTAGCTTAGCTTTAGCTTAACTTTATATTTGGAGTTAGCTTAGCGTTAACTTAGCTTTATCTTAGCTTTATCTTAGCTTTAGCACAGCTTTAACTTAGCTTTAGCTTAGCTTTAGCTTAGCTTTATATTAGCTTTAGCTTAGCTTTAACTTATCTTTAGCTTAGCTTTATATGAACTTCAGCTTATATTTAGCTTAGCTATAGCTTAGCTTCAGCATAGCTTCAGCTTAGCTTCAGCTCAGCTTCAGCATAGCTTTAGCTTAGCTTTAGCTTAGCTTTAGCTTAGCTTTAGCTTAGCTTTAACTTAGCTTTAGCTTAGATTTAGCTTAGCTTTAGCTTAGCTTTAGCTTAGCTTTAACTTAGCTGCAGCTTAGCTTTAGCTTAGTGTTTTATCTTAGCTTTAGCTTAGATTTACCGTTACTACTAATGCTGCTTTCCTAGGGGCTCCAACTCCTAGGTAGGGTCGCACTGGGATACTGTTGGGGGTTCAGGGCCTCCGGGACCCGCTGTGCGTGGCGGTTTGTTTTCTGGCGATCGGGAAGCTTCGGCGGGCAGGCTCCTGGCCTCGGGGCCGTCGGAACCCGAGTCGGGAGGAAGCGCGGGGCCTGGGGGACCCACGCCACGAACAGAGAGCGAGGTCGGATGAGAGGATGCGACCGCGTGCTTACTTGCGAAGCCTGCCTCGGGTATAGCCAGGACCCCGGTTAAGGGGAGCCGGTTAGTGATGGGTCCCCGAAGCCCAAGAGATGGATTGGAATCACTAAACAAGGTTTGCCGTAGCTGATGCTTTTCGGGTTACGGCAATTCCGGTTAGTGGAATGGGACGGGGGGGCCGCCCCCCAGTACACATCACTAAACCAGGTCCCATTCAACCCAGTTCTGCCAACGCCCCTGAGGTGTCGGATATCCACATCCAGTGCGTCTTGGATTCTTGGGCTCTCTTCCCTAGAGACCGTAGACGCACTGGATATGGATAAAAATCTGGCCCCAAGAAGCTTGATTTTATCCATATCCAGTGCGCCTCGGCGTTGCGGCACCTCTTCCCAAAAAGTCCACGACGCTCTGGATATGGATATAGGAGCATCGTGGTTGGTGGGGGGTGCAGGGTTCGGATGCCGCCGGTTATCAGACGCCTGGCCTGCCGGGGCAGGGCTCACCACGTGGCTGCCCGGCCGAGGCACCGGAGAGACACGCGCACAGACCGTCGGACGCCCGCGGGCGGCTTCTCGTCAGGCGCCTGCGCTTCCCATCTTACCATCATAGGGGGATGCGAAGTCCCTGAAGACGGGACGGGGTGGGCACGAGCGGGCATCATAGCCGGCTCAAAATCAAAAGAGGCATGATAGCCTCATCAGTCTAGATTGATCCACTCACGGATCCACTGCAATTGATTTCCATTGAATTCATTCCATGCGTAGCATGCTCTCCCCTCCCCGCCACCCCGAATCTTCAGGAGGGAAACATCGACAGACACAGAATAGACGGCGATGCCCAGCAACAGATGGGGTAATCTGGGAAGTGGAGGGGAGGACGAGCATCCGACAAACACCGAAGAATACGGGCCATCCTTGTACTTGTGCTTACTTCTTTGTGCTTCCCTTGGCCCCTTCAACTTTAGGGGGGGGATGGGGCCCAGTGGGGAGGAGGTAACTATCGGCCCCCGATCGCCCATTCACGCCGCCGACGAGGGGCTGGAGTCGGCGCGGTGTCTCCCCACTGAGCCGGTTCATCCCCCTGCAGTCAAGACGCCTAGTAAGGACCACTTTGGGCTCAGGGTGGGGCTCTGGTTAGTAGTAGTAGTAGTAGTAGTAGTAGTAGTAGTAGTAGGAGTAGTAGTAATAGTAGTAGTAGTAGTAGTAGTAGTAGTAGTAGTAGT